CCTTGTCTTTCCACAAAGATACGAGTTAATTTAGACGTTTTGAAAAGTTGGGGTGTTACAATAACCTTCAATCATAACACAATTACATTCCAAACATGATCATAAAACTTTCATTGAGATCACACACATATACTTCACATCATAATCATACATAGATCCTTCATGAACTTGCCTTCCAAGGCTATGAACCAACATCAACCCATAAATCTAAGATACTACAATAGATAAGGTAATTGACATGATTCAAAAACTAATTCAATATAAACATAAACAATTCAACATACTTTCATGATCAATCAATTCCCAATCACAATTCACAACTTAAGAACTTGGGGAAAAACATGGGTTCAAGGGAGAAATCATCTTAATTCATCATTAATTCAACATCCTACTCATAATTCATCATATAAAAGCCTTTGAAATCGTTTTGGAATTGAACTCGTGCATAGATTGAAAACTAGGGTTTTTGGGGAACTTTAAAGACTTGAAAACCTCTTTGAAATTGGCTCCTTGAGAGAAACTAAGTCAAGGATGAAGACTACCATACCTTTTATGGAAGAAATCCATGAAAATCACGTGAGAAATTTGAAAACTTGATCTTGAAAGCTTACTCCTTCATCTCCAATGGACGTTTTTAGAGAGACAACTTTTGGAGGGGAGGGGAGGTTTCTAATTTGTGATTTGAAATAATGAGTTGAAAATAGAGTTTAATACTTTAAAAAACCCTTAAAATATATTAATAAGCCAATAATAACTGTTCATTAATTCAACTAACCTAAAAAGGAATTTACCAAACCACTCTCCACTTGGACGAACCCAGACAACTTTTGCAGGCCTGACCTACGGACCCCCACCCACGGACCGTGGGTGGGTCCACGGACTGTGCTATCCTTTTGTGGCTCGTGGCTGCAACTCACCTTTTGGGACCTTGACCCACGGAGGCCATCCACGGGGCGTGGATGGACCTACGAGGTCGTAGGTCCTCATCTGTAGGTCATCCCAAAATTCCAACCTTTTGGTTTATTGGGGTCTTGGGGTTTAGGCTTAAGGGTCCTCCTCAAGGACCCCTAGGGTGGTCCTTGGGGAGTCGTACCTTGACATTTAACCCCTCAACCTAAGCTTGGGATATCATTTTACAACCTCAAACCTCACATCAACTCAAAGACAAACTCACTAGGCTCTAGTTTCACCTATTCATTTTTTGGGTCGTCACATACCCCTGGGTCGTGAGATAAGTGGATCCACTAAGATTTGCCCGAAGGCACTAAGGATTCATCTAAAAGTATGATCATGTACCCATGTTGGCAAGACATGATTTATGGGGGCTGTGACTTGTTTGAATTATCCCCCATATCAATGCTCAATACTACTCCCAATAATATATACTCTTTCTCAAATGTATAAAAACATACTCTTTCTTTGGTTTGAGATAATTGCTCAAACTATCCTCTTAAAAGAGGTAACTGCTCTAAAATATCTCTGAAACTCATTGCTCATTTAGAAAACAAGGTTTATCTTTGCTCAATGTAAAAATACATTCTAGGTTGAGATAATTACGCAAAAGGGGCCTCTTTAAGAAGTACTCCTTTTGTCCTTAATTACTTGTCCACTTTTGAATTGGCACACCTATTAAGAAAATAATTATTGATATAGTGAGTTTACCATTTTACCCCTATTAATTATGAAGTTGATGAATTAAAAATTTAAGATTTTCAAAAAGTTGTACCTTTTTCTAAGTAATTAATTGTGGGTATAATAGGTAAAAAAAAATTTGTCCTTTCTTGATTTGTCAAAATTGACAAGTAATTAGGGACAACTATAAAAGGAAAAATGGACAAGTAATTAGAGACAGAGGGAGTAACTGCTCTGTACTCAATCTTTCTGAAAACTCTTTTAACTTTTCTCAAAAAAGTATACTTTTTTTCTTCATGTAAAAATGGAACATTTGGGAAATACTTAGTTCACTTATACTCTTTCTCAAACTCCTCTTTACTTCCTCAAAAACTCAGTTTAAACTATTATGTTTTTGTTTAAAGGATTCTCAATAAGAATTCAACGTTTACTCAAGAATCTAAATGCAAGAAATAGCAACTCAACAATCAAGAAATAGAATTCAATAATCAGTAACTCAAGAACTCAGAACTCAATATCAACTCATCTCAAGAATACTCAAATCTAAGGATACAACCCCAGATTACTCTTTTACTTATTTGAAAGTAAATGTAGGGCATGAGGACGAACTAGTCTAACACTATGATAGCCTTACATACCTGGAAGAACAAAGTTCTTGGCGAAATTGATGAAACTCGAAGAATGCTGGAACCATAGTTTTTCTCTCTTGGAGCCTTTCTATAATGACTTGGAGCCCCACTACCAGCGCTCCCCACCACCCCACCCTCCCCCCAAAAAAATTTAAGTTTATTTTTAAAAAATATTTTCAATTTCAATTCAAAAATTATTTTCTAATCTCTGGTAAAAATAAAAGATATTTTTCTCAAAAATATTTTTTAGTTTTCATTAATGAATCAAACACTAAAAAAAATTTCTACTCACCAACCAAACATGAGAAAATAAGTCAAAAATCTACTTGTTTTTCAGGAAAACATTTTCCATCGAAAACATTTTTTGTCATAGCAAACACACCCTTAAAGATGAACATGGGAGGATTAATGTTACTGATCCTATGTGATTTACTTGATTTTTTTTTCTTCCTTTCTGTTTATTATGGATGTTTTTTTTTCATTTAATATGTATGCTACTATGTACAATAGTACTTTACTAATTATTACTTTATTTTACTATATATATATATATATATATATATATATATATATATAAGAGGGTAGGAGCACACAGTTGACCATCAACATGACAGGCTGTGTGCTTCCTCTCATAATTAGCAGCTTGGCTTACCGGTTACAATATTGCATTTCATGAACATGGTCACAGGATTGAACCTAGGCAACTTCCACTTTTTTATTCCTATTTTAATTATTCGGCAAATTTATTCATTTGTAGCTTTTTGATGGGTCCAGTTCAACCTTCTCCTTTTTTTTGTGTGTTCTCATTAATTAAAACGCATATTTCATCATTTATTTAACTTAGCGTTAATTAAAAATAAATATTTTGTATACGTAAATATATTTTTTTTGGTAGAAAGGACATATATTAAGTATAGTTAAAATAGTACATGATCACTATTAGAACTAGTGATTACAGATAAGTTCCCGTAACGAGCTAACTTACTACATGATGACCTAAGTATTTGCTTACTAACTAGAACTCCTTCTTGATATGCTTTGAGAAACTCGATTGCAGCTTCAGGAGGAGTATGTAGTACATATGATTGAGGGGTCGTTGTTAGCTGAGAACCTATCTTACACAAAAGGTCTGCTACCTTGTTCCCCTGCCGGAAGTTATGACGGACCACTGGATTCTCCAACCTCCTCAACATTAACCTGCAAGACATGATACTAGAAGAATATAGTGAGTACGTAAATATATTTCGTATTCATATTTTAGTTATTTCATCTTCTATCTTACATTAAAAAAAATTAATTTTTAATGTCATCAACAATATTTTGTTTTATATAGTTAAAAATATATTATTATTATTATTATTATTATTATTATTACCCTTATTTACATAAGTAAACTTTTACTATAAAAAAACCATACCAAATAAATACTACTTAATAAGTAATATGTTTAATTATTTTATTTCTCTATCTTTTTATCATTAAATCACTTTTTATTTCTAATGTTAATGTTAAATCATTAATATTATTAGTAGAAAAAAAACATATGTCATAAATTGAGACAGAGAGAATAATATAATCTTTTAAAATTATGTGAATTTTATAGGTCACAATAAGTAACAACTTATTTTTGTATAAATATAAATTAAAAAATTGAATGGCTCTCCAAATTTCATCGTACCACATAAATTACGACAAAATAAGTAATATATATTGGGCCGTGCTGGCACGGGTTCACACATCTAGTTTGAACAGATATATTAAGAAAATAATATTTTAATAAAATAATTAAATTGATTATCTCTTGTTTTTTAAAATTAGTTTTAAACTAGAATGTTGTTTCAACAAAATTTAATAAAATAATTAAATGAGCATCTTATAATTTTTTAAAAAATTAATTTAATATAATATTTGTGTTTCAACAAAATTTAATAAACTTTTTTATTTAAATTGGTTGAGTGATTTTCTAAGTGAAACATCAATAGTTGATTGATTTTGCAGGTAAAATATTCATTTTTGAGTGATTTTGAGGTAATTAAATAAAGTTGAGTGATTTTCTGTGAGAAAAATCCTTAGTTGAATGACTTTTTCTAAGAAAAAATTATAGTTGAGTGATTTGATGTTTTATTAAAGAAAATTGAGTAACTTTAGGCGAAAACAACGGATATGAGATATTAACTTTATATATAATAAACAATAAATAATACTCTCTCTGTCCCATTTTATATGAGGTACTTTGACTCGGCACGAAGTTTAAGGAAGGAAGGAAGACTTTTAAAACTTGTGGTCCAAAATGAATAATAGAAATTTGTGTGGCTGTAAATCATTTCATTAAGGGTAAAATAGACATTTTATAGCTAAATTGTTACTTAAAATAGAAATGTGTCATTCTTTTTGGGACTGACTAAAAAGGAAAGTAAGTCATATAAATTGGGACAGAGGGAGTAATAATAATAATAATAATAATAATAATAATAATATATTTATATTATTATTATTATTATTATTATTATTATTATTATTATTATTATTATTATTATTATTATTTATTGATTAAATTAAAACGTCGCAGCTAGTACAGGACTACTGATAAATTAGTGTTCTTCAACTCTTGTTCCTCTGCAGCTCTGCTTCTTCTTCTCTCCTCCATTTTCTTCCCAAACATGTTTTGAATATCTTTGTTTTTCCCCCCCAACAAAATACAGCTCAGTAATCACGAGTCTCGATTTCTCTCTTTCAAAATAGAAATCGTATACCTGCAACAGCCACATCAACGAGAAGATTTACCAAGAAAAAAGCTTCAATGAAGGTATTTTGTTTCAATCTATTCAAATCTTTACTTATAGGGTTTTCCGGAGACAGAAAGTGAGAGAGAACTTCATAACATACTTTTGACTATTGAAGTTTAACTAATGTGTATATATATTTTTTTTTCAATGTTGAAATAGTTCTATCAGCTTTTGCTTCCTTTAGCACCAAAATTAAATTGGATTCGTGAGATATAAATACCGAAAACTGAAATACATCCCGAATAACCATTTCAAGTAAATTGGATGCTTCAATTGATTTTTGAACAAGTTCTGAACCATGAACGCCCCTTGATTTGACCTAAGGCTGAATGTTTCGATGTAATATATTTTCTGTACTTCTTTTTATCAGGGAATTAAAAAAAACTACAGATTTATATTTTCTGTAACGTAAATGTAGTATATTTTCTTTTGTTGCTACAATAATTAATTTATACATTTATACTGTGTAATTGCTGCTGAAGTACTTCCTTTTTCTTTTTTCCTTTTAGTTACTGAACCAGAACTTGCCTCATGGTGCTAATATTGACGGTGATATCTCGCTGATGCTTGAGCTTCCAGAAAATGACAGGTTCTTCAAGAAAAAGAAGGTTTGAGGTTTTGAAGCAAATTATTGATAATCCTTATTCCTTCTAGCTGTCTGTCGGGACTCAAAATCCCAAAGCCTCAGAACAGGCACCAAACAATTCCCATGTCAAGCGAATCCCATAAAATACAGAACCATCGCATACCAGACGAGTGCAAGTCTAATAATAAGACAATCACATAATCACCCGAAACTAATTATCCAAATGCAATGGGGAAGCTCAAATAAAACAGGAACAGTTACATACTAAATCATGAGTGTCCATCAGTATATAATTAGTACAAGTCTAAAGTGTAAAATAGTAATAAACTGAATAGCATAAAAGAACTTCCGGCCACCGCATAACTAAGCAGTTAGATCACCAGTGGAATCCATACTTGAATAATTAACAATGATCAACCCCGAGGTTGTGCAGAGAAGAGAAGAAGGGGGCCGATTACGGGGAAGTACTTAGTTAGTAATGTTGATCGTCCTAACATGGTAGTGGCATGGGTCATGATATGAAAGTACTCTTTTAAGAAAATCCTACACATATATTTAACAACAATCCCATGCACCTAAACATGGTATTAACATAGCCCATATACAATAGATATATAACCTGAACATGAGTCCAAATGCCCTAAACATATATTCAGTATGAATTGTACATGCAATTCAACATACATATACACAGTGCATGACAAGTAGTACAACCATGTAAATTAACGTACATGAAATTGATAATGTTATTCTTGCATCAACTGATGCTATAAACGAGTCCAAGTTTGAGAATATAATCCCATTGAGGTCACAATCTTAGCTTACCTCAGTCGAAGCTAAGTTTAACCTTCCAAAACAACTTTACCGCATTCGGAATGCACCAAATGACTTCAATAACTTCAAAAAATAATTAATGATGTCAAACAATGCCATTGGATTCAATTCTATAATTTACAACAACTGCAGCATACCCAGTGCGATCCCACAAATGGAGTCTGGGAAGGGTGGGGTGTACACAGACCTTACTTCTACCTTGTATGAGATAGAAAGGCTATCTTATAGACCCTCGACTCAACAAAACTGTTTTCAAAAATAGGTTTGATAAGTTCCAGAGTAAAAGCTATGGTGAAAAAGTATCGTAGAAAAGATAAGTACTGTCTACAAAAATAGTAAAGATAACCCAAGTTAAAGAAATAACAATGGTAGTACAATTGATTATACGATAATAAGAAAAATAATAATAATGATACTGATTAGTATAAAAGGGAGCCAACAAGGTGCTCTAAGCTAGAACCATACTCTCTCTCTCACAAGAAAGAGAGAAGTGACTCGACTATATACTAACCCTCTACCCTAATTCTTGACCTTCATGCTTTCCTATCTAGGGTCATGTTTGAAATGTCTTATCACCTCTTCCTAATTCTTCCTCAGTTAACCTCTACCTCTACCTCTCTTTAGACTATCACTGCCAACCTCTGACACCTCCTCACTGGGGCATCTTTGCTCCTCCTCTTTATATGTCCAATCCATCTCAACTTCACTTCCCCATCTTGTCCACCATTGGGGCCACTCTCATCTTACCCCATATATTCTTTGTCGTAATCTAATCTCTCCTAGTGTGCACATTCATCTAAGCATCCTTATCTCTGCTACATTCATCTCCTGAACATGTGAATTCTTGAGTGGCCAATACTCTGCTCCATACAACATAGTTGGTAACCACTCTATAGAACTTACCTTTAAGTCTGTTCTTACCACAGATGAACATCGGATGCAAGCCTCTATTTCATCTACCCTGTTCCAATATGATGTGTGACTTCATCGCCAATCTTCCCATTTCCTTGGATTATTGACCCGATATACTTGAAGCTTCCTCTCTTGGGGATGATGTGTATCAGTTCTCACTTTCACATCCGCCATATTTGATGTATCACTAAACTTCCACTCCATGTACTCTGTTTAACTCTTGCTCAACCTAAAACCTTTAGGCTTTATGGCTCGCCTTCAAACCTCTGCTTTATCATTAACTTCACCGCATGTCTTTTTAATTAATACTATGTCATTTGCAAATAACATACACTATGGTAGCTCTGCTTTAATATGTCGTGTCAATTCATTCATCACCATGACAAACAAAAACGAGCTAAGAGTACATCCTTGATGCAACCCCATCTTGACTCAGAAGTGTTCCAAGTCTCCTCCCACTGTTCTCACTCAGGTTTTGGCTCCATCATACATATCCCTAGTCACTCTAATATATGTCACAGGTACACCTCTAGACTCTAAGCATCTCCATAAAACCTCCTTAGGGACTTTGTCGTATGGCTTTTCTAAATCTATGAACACCATATGTAAGCCTCTTTTCCTATCCCTATACTACTCAACAATCTCCTTAGAAGATGAATGACTTGCGTAGTTGATCGCCCTAACATGAATACAAATTGATTCTCGGAAATGAGCATATCCCTCCTCATCCTCATCTTTACTACCCTCTCTCAAACTTTCATAGTGTGGCTTAATAGTTTAATCCTATAATCTAAGAGTTGATAAAAGTAAAAGTTAACCACCCCGGGTCAACATGGTCTAACCTCCAATTAAAATTTAAATTCAGATTACGCATAACCGAACGAGGTAGCAAGAGACAGAAGACCTGGTGGAATTTGATTCCACATTGCATTTGGTGGACAGTGTGGAAGGAGAGGAATAGTAGGAATTTTGAAGATATATCCAATTCCATTCACAAGGTTAAATGGAATTGCATTGTATCTCTATATTTTTGGTGTAAAGAGATAGGATTAGAGGATTCAGATCAACTTTTAGAACTCTTAGGATCCTTGTAAGTATTATGCTTTTTGTTCTTTTCTGAATTTTTTAAAGGTCCCCAGCACATCCTTAATGCTGAAGAATACAATGTTTACCAATTCTCAAAAAAATAAATAACCGAACGAGTTCAAAGCTATGCATGGATTTCCATTTGAGACTTCTTGACCATCAAATCTAGGATTTAACTTTTTGTAGTGTTTAGGCTCAAATTCCTTAATTTCTGCCATTAAATTCCATGTTTTATGGTTAACCTTAGCACACTATCATGATATAAACTTAAAGTACTGATTAGAATACTTACCCCAAGTCAAAGGGGGGAATCCTAATCTCCGATTCCCGAAACTTAGAATGTAAAATATGGTGAAATAATAGCTGCTGTCCATGAAACTGATCTTTATATACCCTAGGAGCTTAGTCGCACGATCACCCTGCTCGCTATCGCGGAAATAACCCAGGCCCAGGCTCACTGCAATCGTGACAAGTTATCCACGATAGCGAAGTCTTGCTTGACATTGTTCACGATCTCCCACCATGTGAATGGCGAAAACTAGACTGTTCAACACCTCATGGTCGTGAGACAAGCTTTGTGATCGCCGTTCACCCATGATGCTGTCTCAAGTTCCAAATTGTGCCAAAAATCACCCGATCCCCTTGGATCCCAAACCATACCCTACCAACAAGTCCCAAATAGTAATATCTATTTATGCAAAAGCTCAAAACATAAATTGGGATGCCAATACGCAAAATGAGAGGTTGGGTTGTTGCACTACGTCCTTTCATTTTGTTACGTAGTCCATAAAAAAACTTGAAACTCTGTTCTTAATGTTTTTCTCATGGGCTCTGATGATGGTGTTATCTGATCTTGTCTGCAGAAACTGCTGGAAGACATGGGTTCTCGTGCAAAACATGCATCCATCCATAGCTCTGCAAGTCCTGGTGAACTGGAGTCTTCTTTACTTTTGATGCTTCAGAGAGCTAGAATCATAAACTTAGATGAGGTATTCCTTTCTCAAAATCTAATATCTAGAAGTAGTTGAGTAACTTTTAAATGCTAATAACACTTCTGTTTTTTTTTTTCTGACTTGGAAAATGTGTTGAAAGTTTCCTTCAGACAAAATGACTTCAGTAATTTTTCCGGCGAAATTAAGCTTAGACTTCACCTTACTTTTGTTCTGATCTATTCAATTGTTCATCACAATTCTTACGAGGGTGTAGATGGGAAAAAAGTCTTCTTTGTTGCTGCAAACGAGTCATTTGAAATCAAGGAAAATGGGGGAGACTGAGACAGTTGGTATATTTGGGTGGAAAGGAAGAATTTTGTCAGTACTCTCCCCATCAATGCTAGAATGCCACTATGGGTTCGTCAGATTCTACATTTGGCGTCGGAGGGTACTGATAAACTGTGCAGATGGAGGAAATTCATGGATGATTTTTTTATTGCTAATGAACTTTTGGACACCAGACAGAAACAAAAGAAGCGTTTAGTCATCTGTAACTAGACTTAGAGAAGGCTTATGATCATGTTAAATGGGAGTTTCTACTTTACCTTTTGAAGGTTTTGGGATTTGGTAACAAGTGGATAAAATGGATCAAAATGTGTAATATGTATTTCTACTTGAGGTTTTGTGATTATCAATGGAACCCCGGAGGGCTTCTTCCCAGCTTATAGAGGACTAAGGCAAGGGGATCCTCTTAAACCCCTTCCTTTTTATCCTTGTTATGGAATGTCTTAGCATCATTCTGAAGGTGGATTCAGGTCTTCATTTCTTGATATGAGGTGCCATACAGACACTTTTATTGCACATCATATATGCTGATGATACCTTAGTTCTATATGAGGCAGAAGGAGCACAATTAAGGTTCCTAAGGCTGGTTTTTGATCTGGTCTTCAAACTAATCTTGCTAAGATGCCCACTTGATTCCAGTTAATAAAGCACATAATTTACAGGAGCTGTCAACAACACTTGGGTGTAATACTGGAAGTTTGCCAACTGTATACCTGGGACTGCCTTTAGGTGCCAAACTCAAAGCTTCAGTTATATCGCAGAATATTTTGGTGAAGTGTGAAAAAAGACTAGCTAATTGGAAAAAAGACAGTACTTATCCTTGGGGGTTTGGGGGCAGGTGGTGCTTATTAATAGTGTTTTAGAGACTCACATCCTATGTATGCTGTCTCTATTTTCTTCATCAAAATAGGTGGAAAAGAGACTAGATACTATAAGAAGTGAATTTCTCCTGGAGGGGAAACAAGGAGAAAAAAGAATTACACCAAGTGAATTGAAGAACTGTCATTCAATCAAAATGAAGGAGCTTTATGGAAAGTGGTGGTTACCAAAAAGTATAGAAGGGAGCACAACTACAATAACAACAACATACTCATTGTAATGCCACAAGTGGGGTCTGGGGAGGATGGTGTGTACGTAACCTTACCTCTACCTTGTTAAGGTAGAAATGTTGTTTCTGATAGCCCCTTGACCTCAAGTAATGCATATCAAAAATCAAATATGTAAAACAAATACCAGTAGTAAAGAAGCCATACTAACAATAATTTAGAAGAAAACGCAAGCAACAACAAATAATATGATAACTGAAGCACTGGAAACGTCATATAGTTCTAAAATCGAAGAATAAGCTAGTAGGAGAGTAATAACAACAATATTGATAAGGGAGCTAAATAACGGTCGGCTACCTTCTAAGCTTCTACTTTAATCCCCCGACCTCCATATCCTCCTATCTAGGGTCATGTCCTCTGTTAGCTAGCTGAAGGTGTTCCATGTCCTATCTAATCACTTCTACCTAGTAATTCTTCGGCCATTATGTACCTCTCTTTTTACCCACCATAGCCAACCTCTCACACACCTCCTCACTGAGGCACCTGTGCATCTTCTCTTCACATTTCCCAAATCACCTTAGCCTCGCTTCCCTCATCTTGTCTACCACTAAGCCTACTCCACCTTTTCCCTGATGTCTTTGTTCCTGGTCCTATCTTTTCTAGTATGCCCACACATCTATTTCAACATCCTCATTTCCGCTACTTCTATCTTCTAGACGTGTGAGTTCTGGACCCGCCAGGTGCCAACACTCCGCCCTATATAACATAGCTGGTCTGACCACCACTTTATAAAACTTACAACCGAAGGCTTGGTGGCTCATTTTTAACACACAATACACTAGATGTGAGCCTCCATTTCATCACCTCGCTCTAATATGATGTCTAACATTCTTATCAATCTTTCCATTTCCTTGGATTATTGACCCCAAATATTTGGAACTTTCTCTCTTGGAGATGATTTATGTATCAATCCCCACATTCACATCCGCCACGTGATTTATGTCATTAAACTTGTATTCTACGTATTTTGTCTTAGTCTTGATCAACCTGAGTCCTTAAGACTCCAAGGTCAAGTCTCCAAACCAACAATCTATTATTATCTCTATCGCGTGTCTCGTCAATTAAACTATGTCCTTTGCAAATAACATACAACAAGTCACCTTTCCTTGGGTATGCCGCGTTAGTTCATCCATCACCAAAGCAAATAGAAACAAACTAATGGCTGATCCTTGGTGCAACCCCATCACGACTTGGAAGTGCTCCGTGTCTCATCCAACATCCTTACTTGGGTCTTGGCTCCATCGTACATGTCCTTAATCCCCCTAATGTAAGACACAAGTACACCTCTAGCCTCCGAACATCTCCATAGAACCCCTAGAGACTTTGTTGTATGTGTTTTCTAGGTCAATGAATACCATATGTAAGTTCATCTTTCTCTCCCTATACTACATCAATGTCCTTACTGGATGAGATGTATGGCTTTGTAGTGGAACATTTCGACATGAATCCAAATTGGTTCTCGGTAGTAGACACACCCCTCCTCATCCTCTCCCAAACTTTCATATTGTGGCTTAGCAACTTAATACCCCTATAATTGTTGCAATTGTGAATATCCTTGTTCTTGTACAATGAGATCATATTCCACTTCCATTCTTCAGGCATTTTAGACATCCTAGAAATGATGTTAAACAACCCAGTTTGCTACTCCATACCCGCTTTACCTGCACTCTTCCAAATGTGAGAAATATAGAAGAAAAATATTATTGAATCGTATCTACATTATTACATTGAGACTGTATTTATAGACACTACATTAGACTCCTTTTCCAACTAGAATTCCTATATATTTTCTTATTCATATTCTAACACTGCCCTCAAGTTGGTTCATGCAAATCATATGTACCTAGCTTGTTACAGATGTAATTAATACGAGGACCAGTGAGAGACTTGGTGAAGATATTTGCAAGCTGATCATTTGACTTCACAAATTTCGTAATAATATCTCCTGAGAGTATCTTTTCTGACAAAGTGGCAGTCAATCTCAATGCGCTTAGTCCTTTCTTGAAATACTGGACTTGATGTGATATGAAGGGCCGCTTGATTATCACACACAAGTTCCATCTGATTGAATTAGCCAAATTTTAGCTCTCTCATCAACTGTTTGATCCAAACTAGCTCAGAAGTTGTTGCAGCCATTGCTCGATATTCTGATTCTGCACTAGATCGAGCAACCACACTCTATTTCTTTCTCTTCCACAACACCAAATACCACTCGCATGCAAAACAAACATCTCATCAACCATAGCGTGCCTCCATCCAGAATGAGAAAGTGTTTCATCTATAGTCTAAGGAATGGAAATAGAGGACAAAGACGACGTGGGTTAGCATTTCAAGTGGATCGTATACCTTTTTGAAGTGCAAGCGGTTGGCTTGGATGAGACAAGTTCGTAGTAGGAGCAGGGCCCGACGCATGACATGAATCATCTGGGACTAGTGTTGGATGCGGACGACGATGATAAGTTAGAAGTAGTGGCACTGCAATTGGAGATGTAGAAGTAACCGTAGATTTCTCAAAAGTCGGTACAGGGCTACATGCAAAACCCGAGGTTGAGGTATGGGTAAGATCACAGATACACCAAGATGATCAGAAGATGTATAGTAAGGTTCAAATTCAAAGAATGTGACATCGGCGGACATAAGGTATCGATGAAGATCATGTGAATAACAACGATACCCTTTTTGAATTCGAGAGTAACCAAGAAAAACACATTTGAGGGCATGGGGGGCTAATTTATTTTTTCTTGGGGCTAAGTTATGAACGAAACATGTGCTCCCAAAGACACGAGGAGGGATAGAGTAGAGATGTGACTGAGGAACCAATATGGAATGTGGAACCTGATTTTGAATAGAGGATTAGGGCATTCTATTTATTAAATAACAAGACGTAAGGACTGCATCTCCCCAAAAACGCAACAGAACATGGGATTAAAGGAGAAGAGTACGAGTGGTCTCAATGAGATGCCTATATTTCCTTTTTGCTACACTATTCTATTGAGGAGTGCATGGACAAGTAGTCTAGTGAATAATGCCTTGGTGAGTCATAAACTCCTGAAATTGGGAGAATAAGTATTCTAAGGCATTATCACTACGAAAAGTACAAATAGAAACACCAAACTGATTTTGTATTTCAGCAAAGAAACTTTTGAATATAGAAAATAACTCAAAACGATCTTTTCATTAAGAAGACCTAAGTACATCTTGAATAATCATCAATGAAACTAACAAAATAACGAAATCCTAAGGTTGAACTGGCTACTAGGGCCCCAAATATCAAAATGAACTAATGAAAAAATTGACTCAAAACGACCCTCAGCACTATGTGAAAATGTAGCATGAGTGTGTTTCCCAAGTTGACACGACTCACAATCTAATGTGGATAAACTAGACAAACTAGGCACCATCTTTTGTAGCTTGGATAAACTCGGATGTCCTAAATGTTTGTGGATTAGGTCTGGAGGATCTGTAATGGAGCGTGCTGTAAAGGAATTTGAAGAGGTAAGATAGTAAAGGCCTTGTGATTTATGTCCTCTGCAAATCATCTTTCACGTACTGCAGTCCTACATGAGAAAAAAATCATCAAAAAATGTTATGCCACATTGTAAGGCA